ATATCTGCATGTCTAGGGGAAAATATGAAAAAAAAATAAAACAGGGTTATTTCATATTAAGTTATTATTATATATAACTAACAGAATGTTATAATCAACCAGATAATAGATTTTTAATAATTTCAGTTTAGAAAATAATATATTAGATGGATATATTGGCAATGTTTTCGAGTGATAATTCTTAATGCTCTTTTTTGCTAAACAAAAACAGGATTTGCAATTGTCTTACATGCTTTACCCCATGCCTCAACACAATAAACCAAGTGTGAAACAATTAATCCGTTTTATAACATATACAAAGCTTTATCATTACACAAGTCCATTACTTTTTAAAGCAATGATTTAGCTAGTTTTATTCTTAAACTATTTATATGAGGTTTCCATGTCAGTTTCTCATCAATAATAACACTCAAAAACTTTACCTCACTGACTCTACTAACCTCCACATTGTCAACTCTAAATGGAATGTTAACAGTTCTTTGTCTATTTGTAAATATAATATAATTAGGTTTATCTAAGTTTAATGATAATTTGTTTAGTTTAAAACAATCTTGTATTGTCACAAATTCTGCTTGCATTTTCTTTAACATTTGTTCTATGCCTTTACCCAAACAAACAAAAAAAATAGTGTAACATCAGCAAACAAAACACATTTAAAGAACCTTGACACATTAACCATGTCATTTAGATAAACAGTTTTGCTCCAAGTTCAGAACCCTGAGGAACTYCACATGTTATTCCACAGTAACAGTATTTAAAAACTGTAAGTGAAATTTGACAAAAGGTTGTCAAGTTTCACTTACAGTTTTTAAATACAACCACCAGATGGCGCAACATACTTATACAGATATTTTATCTTTGAATAACTGGTAATAATTATTATTGCAAACAAAAAGCTAATAAAAGCTCACATCACAAATCAAAGCCTCCTCTCCTTTTCTTGGGTGACTAAATGTCCAGTAGTAGCTGGTTCTCATGAGAACAGTACTTAAACAGACTAGTGTTTTGCAGAGAATACCATGGTACTTATAGGATGAAATTATCAAGATTGTGCACCTGCAGCTTGGAGACTCATTTCCTGTCGCTCCTGCTGGATACACAGCCAAATCCAAAGTGTTAATTTAACTCTCAGTGTTAAATTTAACACTTTTTCTGAGTTTAAATAATTCTCACAGACTCTAAGTTAAAATTACACTTTCAAAAGGGTTCGTATTTAACACTTCTAAAGTGTTAGTATTTAACTCTTTAATGTTGTTAAATATTTGACACCCATTGATGTTCTTTTCTAATACTACATAAGTGCACTTTTAACTCAAAACAGTCTTATTCTCTTTCACTGTCGGTGTTAAAATTTCAACATGCATTGTGTCATTTTATGATACATTCAGTGTATTTTTAACATTTCCTTACACTAATGTGTTAACATTTATTGTTTTTTCTTTCAGTATATACTGTATATAAAGTGTATTTTGCATTTAGTAGCCTAAAATACAAGATCAGTGTAAGTTTTACACCGTAGGCAGAGCAGATTGCACTCTGGCTCAGAGTTGAGGTCAACTCTTACATGTACGACCACAGCAGCAACAGAGTCGACCTTCACACACCAGGAAGTACCTCTGACTCATGTTGTCGATTTATGAACAATAGCACAAACTTAAACTTGAACAACTAACTAACCTGAACCAAACAACTAACCAGATCAACTGAACATCTTCAATAGTCATACACATGGAAAACACATCATTTCTACACGATTACCTGCATCTCTTGCTTTGAATAGTCTGGTTAATTTGGCATGAGGTGGAAGAAGGCGGGGATTTTCAGAATCAACACTACACAGTGTTGTATGACCACACTGTTAAGCGTTATACAACATACAACACTTTTAAGTGTTACGAACAGTGGGTGGAGCTTATTTAACTCTCTCCAGAGTTAAGACAACACTGATGAAATTAACTCTGTGAATTAGTACTAACACTGGTTGTCAGTTAACTCAGAAAGTGTTTACAAAAACACTTCAGGAGTTAAAATCAAAAGTTTAACACTGAAATGTTAACACTCTGGTGGAAAGCAGTATTTACAGCTGATCTGACCTTGATGCACGGGCTTACCTGGGCTGAAGCCCTCCAGGTCTACAAAACACATGTAGACTAGAGAGGCAAACTGCCACGACCCCGTTAGCAACTCTGCAAGGGAGATCTGGTCCACTTGTAACTGAGGCTTGACCGTCAATTGGAGCCTACCTTCCAACACCCTGGAGTAAACTTTCCCAGAGAGGGTGAGAAGTGTCATCCTACAATAGCTGGAATACACCCTCTTTTTAAAAATGAGAACCATCACCCCGGCTATAGTCCTCCATGCAATGTTGACGTATCAACCATAACAACCCCACAACATCCAGAGCTTTCAGCATCTCTGGGTGAATCTTGTCCACCCATGGCGCTCTGCCACCAAAGGAGCTTTTTCACTACTACTTTTTCACTCTGTGACCTCTGCCATAATGGACTTGTCTTCCCCTGAGTCCTCAGACTGCCACTTCAAAGTTGGACATGGAGGAGTGATATCAGGATATCGCTCTTGCTGTTGGAAATGGGATGCCCTCTTTTTCCCTGACTGAAAGAAGAATAGAAAAAGACAGAGAGGGAGCATTATTTCATTGTTCTCAAACAACAGTAGTTTCTCTTGTCCTCAGTGTTTGAGGCCTCCCTGCACCACCTGACTCGCTGGTAAGCTCAGAATCGAGGGGCACAGCTCTGACTGTGTTTTTGTTGGGACATTTCGGACACTCGCTATAACCCTTGGTAAGGCTTTTCTTTAAATGTACTAATAAAAAGGTTTGTATCAAAATCTCAAATGCATATTTTCCTGTTATTCTATGTTTTTCTAATTCAAACAGATTACCGGTTTTGCCCTACTGGATTTGATTCTGAAGTGATTATGAGCACTTTGACCGGTCTGAGGGCCGACTCGGCTCAGTTCAYTCTGAAAGGAGAGCCCTTCCTCATCCTGGGAGGCTCTGTCCATTACTTCAGAGTCCCCAGRGCCTACTGGRAGGACCGGCTGCTGAAGATGAAGGCCTGTGGTCTCAATACTCTCACAACGTAAGCTCTTACTGCAAGTATTAGTGTAGATTACGAAGAAAGAATGTTGCTCTCACTCATTCAAATGAAAACTGAGTGTTGCTGTTTCAGATACGTGCCATGGAACCTACATGAACCTGAGAGAGGAGCTTTCAACTTCCAGGATCAGCTGGACCTCAAGTAAGCCTTCTTCAATTTTTTTTCTAGGTTATTTTTTAAATCTGCTGGGTGATTTTATACAGAACGTATTATGTCTGTGTTGCWTCAGGGCATATATCAGTTTGGCAGCGGACATAGGTCTGTGGGTGATCCTGAGACCTGGACCTTACATCTGTGCTGAATGGGACTTAGGTGGATTACCCAGGTGAAATCATCTGTCTGTTGTTATAAAGCTTGACTGTTTTAGGTTAGTTTCAAGGTTTAGGTTAATTTTAGGGTAAATGGTCAGGGTTAAGCAAAAAAGTCTGAACAAATGAATGGAAGTCAGCGCATGGTCCCCACAGGGTTCAAGAACAAACGTGTGTGTGTGTGTGTGTGTGTGTGTGTTAGCACTACTCCTATTTCAAAGAAGGATAATTAAATTAACTAAACTGAATTAAGTGGTCTGAAACTAATTTCACAAAAATCAAAATAAATTAAATTTAGTTAAATATGCCTCAAATTAAAGTTGATTTGAGCTGAATTGAATGTTCCAGAATGTTTTAGTATGGAAACCAAGAGCGGATGTTTTCAACAGATAATTTCTTTTCCATGGTTTTCTTGCAGTAACAATATATYACGTTGTTATCACAAAATAAAGATAAGCTTTTTTTTTAGATAAGTTAATTTTCCAATTGTTTTCTTGAGATAATGAGTTATGATTTTCCTATAGTTATTTAAACATTTTAAATAATTATATAATGAATATAAAATTAGACATTAATTAAAATTGGTATTTATAATAATAGTTTTTGTTCACAAAAGTAAAATCTACAAGCAAATCAAACTGTTTAAACATACAAAGACGAGGTGATGGTTTTAAAATTGAGAAAGCTTGTTYCTTGTAAATGCCTTTAAAATGTATGACGAACAGCCCATCGACATCACAGCAATCATTTGTGAAGTGTCCCCATCACATTTAAAATTTAATTCATTTGGACCCTCACATTTATCATAAAACATTAGTTCACCCAGTGTTGTTTCTGTGACTTAAACAATTTCATTCCACTTGAATTATAGAAGTGTTTACTYATGTAGGTAAAGGTCTGTTTAACCTGCAGAATGCAGGAAATGGCATCTACATCATTCAAAAATTTAGGTGGGAGGACCCACAGACCCCCTGTTAGTGAGCCCCCTCCCCCCAACATTATGAATAATTCTGCCACTGAAATATGTAATAATAATGTAAGGACTCCGTGTGTAAAGATATAGAACTCAATAGAAATCGATTGTTGTGGAAGTGCAGAAAGTATTTGGACATCACAGAATCAGTAATATTATTTGTAAAATAACAAACTGAACATCTGTTGGAAAATAGTTTTCAAATCGTCATTTTACAAATGCATCATAACATTTCTGTTACAGATTTTTGTTTTGGTGTGCCACCCTTGGTTTTTCAGTAGCCCACCCCACCACCCCCATGAAAAAATTCTGCAGGYGCCACTGCCGTACATTACAACAAATACGAGTTGAACCTAATTAAACATTTTTAAACTGAATTTATACAGTACACTCTAAAAAATGAAGYGTTGAATTYAATGGTTCCMCTAAAAGTAATTATGTAAACTGAGCAAAAATTTGCTTTACATTTACTCATCTCAGTTAGTGGAACCAGTTGACATAAATTGGTTAGGTAAATTCAACACTTCATCTTTTAGAGGGTAATTGAACTTAATGAATTTACTGAAATTAAATAAAGTTGTGCTGAATTAGGCTGAGCTTAACTGTAGATTAAATTGAATTCATCTTAATCGACCTAAAATACCTGAATTGAATTTGACCGAATACAAAATTATCAAATTAGATTAACCAAAAAAAGGAGTCATATAAAACTAAATTGCAATACTTGAACTGAATAGAATTTTCGTATTTTGTTTTAAATGCTCAGATCAAAAACACAAAATGGAAAATCGGGCACGATTGAATCCACAAATTACATTGAACTGAATCGAATCGAATGAAATAAAATCAAATTGAATCAAATCAAATCAAACTGGATTGGACTGGACTGGATCTATCTCTATAGTGAATTTAATTGAAACACCAGTTTATCAAAGTTCCTTTGTTTGTTTGTTTGTTTGTTTGTTTGTTTGTTTGTTTGTTTGTTTGTTTGTTTGTTTGTTTGTTTGTTTGTTTGTTTTCCAGCTGGTTGCTTCAGGATAAAGACATGCAGTTGAGGACAACTTATCCTGGATTTGTAAATGCAGTCAACGTGTACTTTGACAAGCTCGTCTCTGTTGTCAGACCACTGATGGTAAAATATAATCTTTGTTAGACTTTGTATCAACAAGGGAACATTTTGCCGCACAGTAACTTTGTGTGTTTTTAGTTTGAACATGGAGGACCAATCATTGCAGTTCAAGTTGAGAATGAGTATGGTTCGTATGCTAAAGACGACAAATACATGCCACTTATCAAAAATGTGAGTTTATTRAGAATGATCATTTTTTAAACATCATTTTGACCATAACTAAAGCTTCTTAATAATCCTGTTTTAATCTTCTGACAGAGCCTCCAGTCCAGAGGGATCAATGAGCTCCTGATGACTTCAGACAACTGGGAAGGCTTGAGTTATGAAGGGATGGAGGGAGGTACAGACACATACAGTGATTTCTGTTTACTTTGGCCATTATGTTTGTTCATATTTGTTCTCTTAATATTGTAATATATCTGTGTATTTCTTATTTCAGTTCTGAAAACAATAAATCTGCAGAGACTGTCATTTGGAGCCATCCAGCACTTGGCCTACATGCAGGTAAACATAGATAATGTGTCTTATTTTAACACTCACACACGGTAACTTCAATAAAACCATTTTTGTTAATTTTTCTGAAATGTTTTTGACATATTGGTCACTTTTTAAAAGAGAAATTCTTTTTTGGCCCTCCCCAATGATTAGAAAGAAATTTGCAAGAATCTACTTCCCTGATTGAAAGCTTATGTGCAACTGACCACCACCTGGATTTTTYTGAGGGCCACAAAGCAAAAGTTAAAATAATAAAAATAATGCTATTTCATTTCAAACAGTTGCAGTGTTTTAATATAATCTTTAACTGACAGGGGTGTGTTCTGTTCTTTGTTCTGCGAAGCCCCACAAGCCTCTGATGGTGATGGAGTACTGGTCTGGGTGGTTCGACGTTTGGGGAGAGCATCATCATGTGTTCCACGCAGAAGGTAAAGAAACTTAATGCAGTTTGACTCTTTTCTTCTTCCTGCTTGGAGCCACCTGTGTGCTGTCTCCTCTCTGGCAGACATGCTTGCTGTTGTGTCCGAAATCTTGGAGCGAGGTGTTTCCATTAACCTCTACATGTTCCACGGCGGGACCAACTTCRGCTTCATGAACGGAGCGATGGACTTTGGCACCTACAGACCTCAGGTCACAAGTTACGGTACGGTCAAAGGCCAAAAAGCAAAGCATGCCTACAAGAGCTGAAGAGGACTACACTCTCCGGCAAAGAACTGACGGCTTCAAACTGGTTTTATTGGCAGATTATGATGCTCCGCTGTCTGAAGCTGGAGACTGCACTCCCAAATATCACCTTCTGAGGAATCTGTTCAGCCGGTTTCACTGTAAGACCTTCCTCATCCAAATGGCATGATTACACAACAAATTTTACAAGAAGATGTATGAATTTAAGATTACTGCTGGCCTTAATGAAATGTTTTGGGGGTTTTCTATGATGTGTTTTCCAGCTGAGCCTCTTCCTGAAGTTCCCCTACCTCAAGAGAGGAGAGCTTACCAGCCTGTTTTAATGCAGCACTACCTTTCTCTGTGGGACAGCCTTCAATTCACAGACAAGGTGAGCACCTCTGTAGTGACAGCTAATATATTAAACAATAAAATGCAATGCGCTGAAATCAAACTCAATATATATATGGTATGTCTTCATTCTCTTAAACTAATGTTAGTTGTAAAGTTGGCAAACACATCTTTCGCACATGCCTGTTTTTTGKAGAGACCAAGAATCAGGGCTGGCCCTAGCCAATTTGGCACCCTAGTGAAGATTTTTTTTTCTTTTTTTTTTTATTTAACCAGGTAGATCTCACTGAGATTAAAAATCTCTTTTTCAAGAGAGACTTGGTCAAGAACGGCAGCAGCACCCAAACATTACCAAATTCAGAGCTGCAGGTAGTAAACTACAATCAARTTCATCATGATAAATAAAAGTAAGACAAGAAACACCCAGAAAAGATTCAATCAGACTAAAATAGAGTATAAAATCAGTTAAAACATATACCAACAAAGTGCAAACTGTTCAAGAATTCCAGGTGGCTCCCCTTGTGCAATTTTTTTAAATCTCACTGCCAGTTTACAGGCACTCACATACCAGTTTAAATATTTTTGTCTTTCATGTTATTTTTTCATCTTTAGAAACCAGATATCTAATTAAAATGGTTATCAATATAATTCATTTGCAACAGGATAAGTCTACCACATAGCTGCCAACATTTGCTGCCAGCGATGAGGATTACCTGMTGCTCGCTGCACGAGCAGCTGTGGAGTGAATCAGTTCTAGGGGGGTCCAGGGGTACACGCAACAGGAAAAAAWTTGTAAAAGATCTACTCATAACTATGCAKTTTTCAGCCATTTGAAGAGAATTTTACTAAATTATTGGGATTAAAAATCATCAAATCAGTGTTTTAYAAAGGTAGAACACTGAAAACCAGACTTTAACCTGAACTTTATCTGAGTTCACCGAAACTTCCCTTATTTTGTTTTATGTTACACACTGCACCCCCTTGATGGATGGGGCCCTTGCCATGGGCCAGCTCTCTCAAGCATTGCTTAGTCTCAACAGAAACATTTTCTATACTCCTTTAATTATTTTTATTGTCTTTTCTAACACATGTGATGATTCATCTGCGCAGCCATCCAGGTCAGAGAGGCCAATAAACATGGAAAACCTACCAGTCAACAACAACAAYGGTCAGTCATGTGGTTACACTCTGTATGAGACCATCATCAGCAGAGGTGGAACACTTAACTCTCAGAACAACGTCAGGGACAGAGCGCTGGTGAGAACATGTAGAGGGGTCACTGGTGCAGTATAATGTTACCAGAGAAGAGCTTTAATGGCTGATGTTTTCCAGGTTTTTGTGGACAGACAGTTTGTCGGGTGGTTGGACTACAAGAGTCAGGAGGTCACGCTCCCTGACACTGAGGTATTTCTTATAGGTTTGAAATGAATGTCTCATTTTGCTCCAGTGAATTTCCTTGTTTTGACTTTACATTGTTCAACAATATCCTTTTTAGTTGAGTAAGAACAGAATGATATGCAAAGTAATTAATTATCTTTGAAAATGTCTTAAAGAGATCCCTGATTAGTTGTAACATTAGACTTTATTTGATAAACATAACTTTTAACTGTAAAATGAAGACTGTAAAATACTGTAGGCTGTTTAGTTTTGTGAATTTTTAAAAATATATTTTAACACGGATGGAGCCATTTTCTTTGCACGCAAAGCATTCTGGGTAAATGATGACATGGATAGGTCCTCGGTGTGAGAGAGCTGTATCCACACTGAAGGTTAATTTTGGACAATATCTGATGATTGACTCTTTTAAATGAAACCAGAGAGCGTTGACAGAGAGGAGAAGGTAGAAATGACTCAGCCTGGAACTGAAAATATAGATGGAGGACAACAGAGCTGCTTCATGGAAGAAGAACCTCAGCTTAGCCTGTTAGCCTTTGTGCTTGCACCGATTCTATATTGCCTTATTTGTATTAGCTCGGTGCAAGCACGACAAACGAGCTAAACTGAGGTCCTCCATCCATGTTTTCAGTTCCAGGCTGAGTCATTTCTACCTTCTCCTCTCTGTCAACGCTCTCTGGTTTCATTTAAAAGAGTCTATCATCAGATAT